TTTCAGAACAAAAAAAATGTCCATCTGTGGGACTAAAATTACATTTTTAATATCAATATGATTTTTTTAATATCATTTTTAATATTTTAATTTATTAAGAATATGGACACCAATTACTATTTTATTTCTTTTTAAATATTATTTCTCATTGTCATTTAAATTTATTGGTACTTTAATGTATTATGATAAGGTAATGAATTTAAATAATTACTTATTGTAATAATGCAAAGAGGAATACAATAAGACGAGCACATTAAGCGGGCTTTCAACGTCGCGAACACGTGATGAATATATCCAAGAGCCGATTGCTCTATCTCCTATCACTTGCGTGTCATAATCTAATTGCAATCGTCAAGCTTCACATCGTAGGCGGCATAATTGCATCATACGTTAACCTGTAATACACGTCCCTGTTAGCTTAAACGGTCCGTAATACAGATCGCTAGTTTTGAAAGAAAGAAATTTCTATGATACATGTCATTGTGATTATATTGCGTACTACCTACCGCCGATAATGTTGTAGTGATATATAATATCCATGATACTCATCGGCGGTGTATTAATAGCGATTAGGTTCTCTATAGTGCACATCGGTGCTTCCAGTGAAATTACACAGAAAGGAAGCCATAAAAATTACCCACGACGTACAGTTAGGTTCATTATATTGATTAAAGTCTCTTCGGTACCCCACGAAGATAGTTACAGAAGCAGCAGCAGCACAAAATATGGGTGCCCCTAGGCACGGCTTTCTTCAAATTGTGTTTTTCGGGTGCAACGAAGCGCGCCTTCCATTCACACACCACCTCCAATCGCTCAGGCGTCAAGTAAACACGCACCCTCCCCGCGCAGAGCGCGTCGTCCGCGCAGAGCGCAACACGTGGGCGCGGAGTGTGCGCGAGCGCCTGCGTGGCGTGCGTACGTGTGCGTATTGGCAGCGCGGCCAAGAGGGCCAGGGGCCGGCAGGAGCCGTAAACAGAATGCAGGCGCGCCAGCGGCGAGGGAACCGGGCCGAGGGCCGCGGCGGAAGGGGCGCAAGGCGCAGGCGAGGGCCCGGGCGAAGGGCGCGGGCGAGGGCGCGGGCGAAAGGGCGCGGGCGAGGGCGCGGGCGCGGCGAAGGCGGCGGGCGAGGGCGGCGGGCGAGGGCGCGGGGCGCGGGCGAGGGCGCGGGCGAGGGCGCGTGGCGAGGGCGCGTGCGAGGGCGCGGGCGAGGGCGCGGGGCGAGGGCGCGGCGTGTTGCGCGAGCGCGGGCGAGGGCTGCGGGCAAGGGCGCGGGCGAGGGCGCGGGCGAGGGCGCGGGCGAGGGCCGCGGGCGAGGGCGCGGGCGAGGGCGCGGGCGAGGGGCGGGCGAGGGCGCGGGCCGAGGTGGGCGGGCGAGGGCGAGGGCGCGGGCGAGGGCGCGGGGCGAGGGCGCGGGGCGGGGGCCGCGGCGGGGGGGCGCGGCGAGGGGCGCGGGGCGAGGGCGCGGGCGAGGGGCGGGCGAGTGCGCGGCGAGGGGCGGGCGAGGGCGCGGCGAGCGGCTGCGGCGCGAGGGCGCGGAGCGAGTGCGCGGCGAGTGCGCGGCGAGGGCGCCGGGGCGAGGGCGCGGGCGAGGGCGCGGGCGAAGGGCGCGGGCCGAGGGCGCGGGCGAGTTGCAGCCGGGCCCCGAGGGCCGGGCGGGCGAGGGCCGCGGGCGAGGGCGGGGCGCGGCGAGGGCGCGGGCGAAGTGCGCGGGCGAGGGCGAGGGCGAGGGCGAGGGCGCGGGCGAGGGCGCGGCGAGGGCGCGGCGAGGGCGCGGCGAGGGCGCGCGTTTTTGTCGCGAGCCGCCGAGCGCGGCTGCGTGGCGTGCGTACAGTGTGCGTAGTTGGCAGCGCGCCCAAGAGGGCCAGGGGCCGCAGGAGCTGTAAACCCAGAATGCAGGCGCGCCACGGGCGAGGGGCGAGGGAGCGCGGGCGAGGGCGCGGGCGGGGCGAGGCGGGGGCGCGGGCGGGGGCCGGGCGAGGGCGCGGGCAGGGCGCGGGGCGAGGGCGCGGGCGAGGGCGCGGCGAGGGGCCGCGGCGAGGGGCGCGGCGTGGTGCGCGAGCGCGGGAGCGCGGGCGCGGGGCGAGGGCGAAGGGCGCGGGCGAGGGCGGGGCGAAGGGGCGCGGGCGAGTGCGCGGGCCGAGGCGCCGGGCGAGGGGCGCAGGGCGAGGGCCGCGGGCGAGGGGCGCGGGCGAGGGCGCGGCGAGTGCGCGGGGCGAGGGCGCGGGCGAGGGCCGCGGGCGAGGGCGCGGGCGAGGGCGCCGGGCGAGGGGCGCGGAGCGAGTGGCGCGGGCGAGGGCGCGGGCCGAGGGCGCGGACCGAGGGCGCGGCCGGGCGAGGGCGCCGGGCGCGTGCGCGGCGAGGGCGATGGGCGAAGGGCGCCGGGCGAGGGCGCGGGCGAGGGCGCGGGCGAGGGCGCGGGCGAGGGCGGCGGCGTGTGCGCGAGCGCGAGCGGGCTGCGTGGCGTGCCGTACGTGTGCGTAGTTGGCAAGCGCGGCCAAGAAAGGGCCAAGGGGCCGGCAGGAGCCGTAAACAGAATGCAGGCGCGCCAGACAGGCGGAGGGCGGAGGGCGCGGGCGAGGGCGGCGGCGGGGGCGAGGGCGGGGTGCGCGGGCGGGGGCGCGGCGAGGGCGCGGGCGAGGGCGGCGGGCGAGGGCGCGGGCGAGGGGCGGGGCGAGGGCGGCGGCGTGTGCGGAGCCGCGGAGCGCGAGGCGCGGGCGAGGGCGAGGGCGGGGCGAGGCGCGGGCGAGGGCCGCGGGCGAGGGCGCGGGCGAGTGCGCGGGCGAGGGCGCGGGCGAAGGGGCCGCGGCGAGGCCGGCGGCGAGGGCGCGGCGGGCGGGGAGGGCGGCGTGCGGGCGAGGCGCGGGCGAGGGCGCGGGCGAGGGCGCGGCGAGGGGCCGAGGGCGCGGGTGCGAGGGCGGCGGGGCGCGCGAGGGCGCGGGCGAGGCCGAGTGCGCGGGCGAGGGCGGCGGGCGAACGCGAGGGCGCGGGCGAGGCGCGGCGAGGGCGCGGGCGGCGAGGGCGCGGGCGAGTGCGCGGGCGAGGGGCGCGGGCGAGGGCGCGGCGAGGGCGCGGCGTGTGCGCGAGCCGCAGATCGCCTGCGTGGCGTGCGACTTGGTGCGTAGTTTGGCAGCGCGGCCAAGAGGGGCCAGGGGCCGGCAGGAAGCCGTAAACAGAATGCAGGCGCGCCCAGCGGCGAACGGCTTCGGGCGAGGGCCGCGGGCGAAAGGGCGCGGGCGGGGCGGCGGAGCGGTTTCGGCGCGCGCCGTTGAGCGTACACGATGCGAATGGGCTGTCGTACATGAGCTGCCGCGAGGGTGGGCGAGTCGAAGAGGGCCCACGTCGAGAAAAGTCGCACACGCAGGCCCCGTTTAAAATTTCAGCTTTGGGGAAACTGATTTGTTAAAACGGCTATTCTCAGATACTCTTTCCAGGCCATGTTTACGTCATGAGGCAATGGTTTCTTGGAGTGTAGGTCACCTACAAACCTGAATCAATCTTGGTAGTCACCAATCCTTACGCCACGCGTTACATCAATTTGTTTGTTGCTATTGTTGTCGTGGTCACTATTTTGTTTGATGCAGTTTTTTTTAGCCCAAGTGTTTCTGATCCACCGCCATATCAACATTACAAAATTAAGGCGGTGCAGAATGGATGATTTTTGTTAAATGATTTATTTGTTAATTAAGATTTTTGTATTGTTTGTTGTTCTATGACTTTTTTAACTATAGAATCACATAACTTTACTTCTTGAGAAGTTTTAGTAGATTTTAATTTTGGTATATTTTTGCTATTTCAGATTCTGATGGCCAATAATGTTCCTTTTTGTATTTTGCCACATAAAATTTTTTACTTTTGTCTTCTCCTGGGTTACCATCTCCCATCAAATTGTATATATACCTGTAAAGCTGTGGGCAACATAAAGGCACGGGTCGTATTTTTTGTCTCATGTGGAAGCTGAGCCTGTTGTTTAAAAATCTAAATGATAAAGGAAGAATACCAGTCAAGATTTTTATTTTTTTCAATTGCGCGACCAGGTTTTGTTCACTCCCCGAAAGAAATGCATCATACTTTTTGTGTAGATCTCTTTTGAGGGACAGCCCTCTGTATATGATTCCCCTCTAAAATGCGGGGCGATTACGCAAGTACGAAGAACGAAACATAAAATAAAAAATTCAAGTTTTTCACGAAAGCCTTTTCAAAATCAAATTATCAGGTAAGATTTTGATAAATTAAAGATGTCTATTTCAACTGATAAAGAAATATTTTTGAGAACAAATGTAAAGCATTGTTTAAGATCTTTGTAAGGAGCGTTGTGGTATGATTAAAGGAGATCGTGGATGGAAATGAGGGAAAAGGAACATATTATTCAGGACGCAACGACAACGACAACGAATTTCAGAGCAGCATTGGAAACTGATAACAGATATCAGACGCGACGGTAGTGAATTCTGCCACAATCGGCGTCGTGGCCAAAAGCAGAGCAGCAGGCAACCGAGACGGAGTCGCGGCGCGGAAGGCGCGCGGGGCACTTGGCGGCTTCGGCCGCGGGCGTACCAGCGCATTTGAATGGAACGCGGGCGAGGGAGGGCGCACACAACGGCGCGCGCGGCGCCGCCCGCCACCTCCCTCTCCTCCTCCTGGCTCTCTCTTCCACTCCCGCTCGGGCCCGCCCCTCCATCTCCCTCCCTCCCGTCGCCTGGCCGCCTCCTTCTCTTTTTTCTCTCCTTCCCGTGCGCTGCTCCGGCTGCTGCTGCTGCTGCTAGGAATAAACTTCTTTTTCTTTTGAGCTCGTGGGCCCCCACCTGCGCGCTCCGCCGCCGCCGCCGCCGTTGGGGAGGGTTGTGCCCCTCCGCCCCCCTCTACCGCTCCCCGCCCGCCCCCGTCACGTCACGGGACTGGTCGGTCGCTCTCCGTCGCGCGGGCCGCTCTCCCCTCTCGCTCGCGGCGCTCGAGTCATTCAATTAGGAAAAGCTTACCATAAAACGTTGTGAGTGGCAGCGATGTGGCGCGCAGTGGCAGCGGGGCTGAGGGCCACCTGCGCGATCGTCGACGAGCGCGCGTCGCGCACACAGCACCCACGCGGTCAGGCAGGAGGCGTGCTAGCGAGCGATGAGGAGCGTGCAGTGGGCGCCAGCGCGCCTGAGCGGGCGGAGCGGAGCGGGGCGGAGCGGAGCTGCCGGCTTTTGGCGGCGAGAGGGAAGGCCGGCGGGGCGGCCCTCGTCGGCGCCCGCCACCGGCGCAAGCCGCCTGCCCGGCTGGCCAGCGCAGGCGCAGCGCAGCGCACCGGCCCGGCCAGCCAGAGCGCGCGAGGAGGTCAGTGCGGCGCGACGGCCGCGCGCGAGGAACAGCTCGCTCACGGCACGCGCCGAGGGAGCGGGCGGGCGACCGACAGGCCCGCGGCGGGACACAGCCGAGTCTCAATGCACCATCGGCGCGGGCCGGGGCGACGCCGCGGCGTCGGCGGCCACGGTGGCGGGGGCGCTCCTGCTGGCGCGGCGCTGGCTCGGCGCGCGCCGCGCCCGCGCGTGCCGCTCGACGTGTTCCAGCACCACCACGGCGGCGGAGGGCGGCACCCCGTGCGGCCCCCGCCGCCCCGACACAAGGACGCGGCGCCCAGGCGGCGCTGTCCGACGCGCTGGCGCGCCACGCCGCCCCCGCCCCCGCCGACGGACAGCCCACCGTGCTCTACCAAGTCGGGGTGAGTACGCATCCGCGCGCACGTGGCGCGAGCACGTGGCCGCGTCGATTCGCGAGCTAGCGCGCGCCCCGCGCTTCTGGCCGACGGCTGACGTCATCTGTTGGCGGACGTGTTCGCACGCTCCCCCGTGCGCGTGATAGCTAGGCGCGCAAGTTAGCCGAGCGATCGCCCGCAGAGAAGGTTCGCGTGTGCGAGGACATCAAGACAGTGTGCAGTGCGAATGCGGAATGGACTGCGCGCGTGATCGCGTGAGACGAGGTGTTTGGCGTCAGCGTTCCGTCCGCGTTAGGCCACGATGCACAACGACGCATCCCGCGGTGGATTCCACGCGAGTGTACGTACGCCCTTCAGTCACGGTTGTTTTGTTTTTTATTTCTTGTGTCCACCGCATTCGTTAGTGCAAATATTTTCTCACTGCTAGGAAAACACATGACGAAGCAAGTGCGAAGAACAGCATCAATCTCATGGTCCAGAGGCACGAAATCTGATACCGCACATACTGCGCATTATCGCATTGTGACAATCTGTTAGCGTACTACTGGACTAATGCCACACAAATTGAACAATCCATTTTACAACGTGTTTTACACGTTAACTTGAGCTTTCTAAATAACTAAAGTGTTTTAATATACATTTTTTTCAATTTACAAATGTTTCAATTACTTCCTTATTCCAAAACTAGGATACAGTAGAATCTTTGACTTAAATCTTATCAATAACGATTTCAACAGCCTGGAAAGTTCTTGAAGAATTAAACTTCTGACAGGGTTCATATCAAAATTGGTACTTCAATACTTATATAGTTACTATACTTATCAGCATTATTTACTATAACGATTGCAGTTATTATCCTACATTTTAAGAACATCATAACAAAATGCCAATCTTCTGCATGTTTTGACAAAGCGACATATTTCAAATCTTCAATCGACCTTAGACATATATAGCAGTAAACAATCAGTCTACACTTTCATATTCAAATTTTACCACCCAAAATAATAAAAATCCTTACTCCACACGCTAAACAAATATGGTAACCATACTTGTAATAATGTGACCATAAAATATGTGTATGTCTTATAGCAACTGATCAGTGTCGATGAGTTTACCAAGGGTTAATTCCTTCGCTTTTCAAGTGAAGGAACGTTATTTCCCCATCATTCAAGTCGGCTCACTCAGCCCTCTGATCAGCGATTACCGAAATTACAAGTCTAATGTCGAGTCTAAAAGATTAATGTAGACTAATGCTTAATTCTGGCTGCATCACCTGCTGACAAGACGCTTACTTTTACAAAGCGCGTGTGCATGTAGTTAGAGTATATTTATTCCAATCCCGAATCAATCACTAGGGTGCACTGCCACGCCCGTGCGTGCGTGTGCGGTGCGTGGCGCGTCAGCGCTCAGCCGCTCCACGCCAACGCGTTCCCGCGCCCCGCCCGCCCCAGCGACCGGCTCCGTTCCAATGACAACACTGCCTTGCACACACAAAATTCAATCAACTCCACGCGCAGTTATTATTTAATTCACAAAAGAGCTGCCAACTATTCACATATAAGACGGTTTCAACGTAACAATTTTATATTATTACAAAACCCCTTAAACAAAAATTGCGATAATACTTTAGCTCCCGTAAAATCGGTTTTAGGCCGATTGACACAGTGTGACGTACATAATTTGACAGAACGACCGTGATCATTTCGATTTAAAATACTCATTTTAAGAAGCACACATTTAAGACTCATTTTCATATCTATTTTTATTTAAAACTTCATGGTTTAGAGACATATGTTTGACAATCATTTCAGGTGTTCGGTAAGTTTGGAAGAGAGAATTGAAAATGATGTGTTGTAAAAGATGCGTGATGGATATAGATTGGTCGCGAGTTGCTGACAAAATGTTGACGACCTGGCAAGACGCCGATCGCGAAGTGGCAGAACTATTTTAAGAAAGGATTCAACGGATTCGATATTGCCTTGTTGGAAAAGTGTTGAAATGTTATTTGTTTCTGATTTTCTCTTTTCTGTGACATTTTTAGTATAAACATACACTTTTTATTCGTACTGTTGGGTAAAATAGCGTGAGTACGACAGTAAAGTAGTTTTTACTTGATACGTTATTCTTCTCATGTTCTTTTAACGTGCATCAATACCATTTGTAGGTCTTCAAGTGTGAAGGCACTGTTGCAACAGCAAACATTGTTCCAAATACAAAATAAACGATAAGTCATCGCAAACTTAATCAGAATATTCTAAAAAAAGTGTCTTCAGTTAATCTAAAATATCGCCAGATATGAAAATATGCAACAAATATTGAGAAAATGCTATACCTGCATTTAGAAATACGTAGGCTACTCAATCACAGATAATCAAACATACATTTGTCAGCCTACCAAGCAGATTTTGTTTATAAATTGCGAGAAAAGTTAATTATCACTTTATGTGACCATTCATTAAACATTATATGACAACAAGATTAAAATAATTTATTTTTTAAAATAAATACTAATACCTCTAATTGTCTTCATCGTCTTTTCTACATATAGTCCTAATGCCTCACGGAATTTCGTAAAACGAGAAGTCACTAAAAACTGAAAAGATATCAACACGTTTTGCACAAATTATGGAAATTAACAAAATTAATTAATATAATTTATTAATATTACAAAAAATATTAATATTAAATAAATTTTTGAATACAAAATAAAATGTATTAATGCTAAATTTATAAAAGGTATGGTGATTCGGTAACATTATCTTTTTCATTTCGCCAACGTTTGTAAATTAAAAAACCCTCCTTCCGGAAACCACCAAACAGTGTGTATACAATGATCTTCCGCTCTTTGACATGCGATCAAGCCACTGGATAGGAATAAACCACTCATTAATTTTCGAATTGCTGCAATCGTGTAAGCAATCGCGGACGAGTTTCCCGAGGCATGAACGCTCCCCGGCAGCGCATAGAGGGGCAACGCACGTCAACACGGCAGCCGCGGCGACGCTGGGCGAGGAGGAGGAGCTGCGGCGGCCACCTGCCGACGGCGGCGACCAGAAGCGCCCGCAGCGCAAGGCGAGCCCCGCACACGTGCAGCGGGCGGGGTCACGCGAGAGGGCGACGCCAGGCGAAGAGCAAGATGATGGCCCTCTTGCATTTTGCGTCAAACACAAGAGTAGAGACATTTTGCGTGCACAGAACTTACACGAACACACGATCTTGTGGTCTTCATTACTGGAAATATTGCTACTGCCGGGATTTCTTCACATCAACATTATTACTACACATTGCAAAGGGCCTTATGGAATCTAATCTGTGAAAGCATACTTCCATCTCGCATATATTCAATGTGGTATTTGAGTTATAAGCTAATATTTCTGTAGTTGTACCATAAAAATGTACAAAGAGGGGAATGCTTATAATGTGTCGTGGTAACGATTTAGGCGATTTCAACAGAAACATTTCTATGTAACGGGGTAGACGAAATAATCATAATGCTCTTCACAACGGGACTACCTCAAACGTTCAAACTCCGCTCCACGCGCCGCAACACTTTCGCGTCCCTCCCCGCCGCCGAAAGCAGTTGGTCGCAGGTGAGCGGCCCGGAACCGGTCAGAGGTGACTTCCGGCGGCCCGCATACCTCCGCGCCCCGGGCTGCTCTCTGGCCTCCTCCGGCCGCGAGTGGCGTTCCGTGACGCGATGCGCACGCTCACGCCCGATCGCTTGCACCCGTCCCGCACAGTCGCTTCGTCAGATGAACGCTTGAATTCGCAAGGACCTATCATTTCTTCCGAACGTTCAAAATCGAATTGGACGAAAACTCGTCGACTCGAACGATCGCGTAATCTCGCCGCTCGAAACACTTAATTTTCCGCTGGTGGTAACTCCGTGAAACGAATTCTGGGAAAGGTACCCAATGGCTACATCGTGAGTCCAACGTGAGTAAATCCTCTTAACGCCTACTTGCTTGATACATGGGAATGGCAATGCATTCAGCAAACAAACTTTCTCCACAGATAGTATAGAGATGTGTTTAATCCATGAAAATTCAGAAGCCTTCAATCGTTGACACGCGAAAAAGTATGTGCTTCGGAATTAAATGTTTCTAGCACTATCGTTTCTTTAAAAAATAGGGCACGGACATTATAAATTTCCTCGAAAGATTCACTTCTTGTGTACTTACACTTTACAGTGAAACGTTACGTGCCTTTAAATTAGGAACGTTTCTCCCAAAATTCTAACAAGTAGAGAAAGCGATGTTTCAAATGTGTGATATGAAATGGTACACGGAAATCATTCTTTAAAAAAGGTCCAATGAAATGTGCAACTGGTACCGGATATATCAATATGTATCACGCTTCCTTCGCGATGTCAGATTCGCTTTGCTTCCTGTCAGTGGACTGTGTGAGCCCGGAAACCACTGACGCAATGGTCTGTTCTTTCTACAAACGTACGTGGGCTGTTTACTGTATATACAGCCAAACATGTTCATTATCATGTTAGAAAAGACGAAGGCATTGGTAGGAGCGAGCAATCAAGGAAATGCCTTGCGAGACTGAAGCTTCTCCACCTGCCTTCGCCAACGTGCCGGGTATTTGGGGCTTCGTCGGCGACCTCGCCTGCGCGCGTTGGGAGCGTGGAGAAGCAGTGCGCGCAGCGCTGCTCTTCCAGAAGGTTCTCGTGACGCCGCCGGCGAGGAGCGGTCGCCGCTTTTCGCCGGCTCCTCACAACAATTCGGTCCACTTCGGCTTCGTTCGCGCCGCCCCTCGCGCACACCGACCTGTCAATTCTCCTCCGCACTCTCTTCCGAGATGCCGAGCATACGATTACCAAGGACCGGGCACACCTCTCTACTTACTTCGCATCATCGATTATTTTAATGGACTGCAATAACGCAAACAGGGAATTATGATTGTTCATAATGTTCTATGAGGAGAATATTGTCTCTGGCTTGTGAAACGAAAATCATTTATTGATACATGGACAATAAATGTATAAAAAAAGAAAGTAATTACTCAATGATGGCGTAATGGTTATCAACTTTACATCACATTCGATTTTGAAGAGTGAAAGTCGTTGGTTTCACACAATACGATTCAATCAATACTTCGTTACAACTTTTAGTTACATATCTACTCTTTGTGTACTCACATACTCAATAACTAGGAAAAATCTAATAGTTACGCTAACAATTCCTTTGATCCCAATACTACTTATGTACTACATTTTTAACGTACTTCTTGACACGAATGATTTTTAAACTCTCCTCGGTTCTATTTAGGAAAAGAACATCTGTTAAACTAATTTGGAACCTCAAACTTTTCTCTTGACGTCAATTTACCAATCAGTACTTACAACCAAAAACATTTAAATTTATCGGAATTCCCATCAATACGCTCTCGAGTACGCAGGAACCAACCGCCGTGCGTCCATCTGCCTCCGCCCACGCCCACGCCCACGCGCTCGCCGCGACGCGGCGGCGGCGGCGGCGGCGGCGGCGGCCTACTTCTGATTCAATTCCGGCGAGCCTCTCGCCTCCGCCGCCGCCGCCACGGACCGCTCGTGCGCGTCCTCTTGGGGCCGAGATTGAGAGAGGGACCCCGACCCGAGGCGGCGCCACTCACGCTGGCCCCGAATAGGCGAGGGGTGCGCACCTCCCCCTCCGAACACTCCTTCAGGAACACTAGTTGCCACAGAGCACACTCTTCAAAACATTTTCAATACTGGCAGTAAACTGATGTATTCTCTGAGCACACATTATTCTGTGAATTGTCACTAATAAAAATGTGCAATTCTTAGCAGCAAGAATCTGTAGTTCATGGATACGGTTTAATAACAAACGTTATCATAATGCTGATATCGTAAACCCATTAAGAAAAAATATATGCCCTTAAAAAATTACTATGGAGAAGTGCACAAATCTTGTGGAAATCCAACTTATGGATTTCCATAAGACTGGTGGAGTGGTTACAGCAGAAATCTTGTGGAATATGAGGTAAATTAGAAGAAATCTTTCAGAAAAGAAATATGGTACAAGGTTCCTTCTATTTTACCTATCCGTTTCATTTATTTTGTTACACGTTCCGTATTTTATTGTATGTTGAAAAGCTTACTAAGAAGTGTGGCCAGTGAAGCCCCGTGGGACGCCCACGCCTCGCCCAGCCAGCCAGCGGCGGGCAGCTGCGCTCGGCAGAGAGATTCCCATTAGGCCAGCCCATGCGTGGGGGCCGCGGCTCTCTGGCCTGCTCCCGGTGGAATAGGCGACAGATGCAGTCGGACAAAACGGACTCGCCTGCATTCAAACTTAGAAGAGTTGAAAAACTCTTAATACTTAACCATTTTATCTCGCGTTTTAGTGAGTGCTTATCACTGCAAATACGAATCTACATCAGAGTGATTAAAATGACAGAAAATGAAAATATTTATTCCTACATTTACGATATTTTAAAAAAAGTTCCACCGTTTTGTGACAGCATAATGCTCACACTGGTATTTCCCTACTTCCTCACGTATTTCAGTACGCTGAAGTAATAATTCTAAAACTATTGCTTGAAAATAACTTATTTAAAGCGGATAGCTAAGAAGCTACTGCAATATTTTCCTCTCCAAAAGAATTTTACTCAACGGATAGGACAGACGTACTTCATAGTCACACAGAAGATGCGTGAACATTACATCACAAGGAAAAAAAAGGCAACGGGGAGTTCCTTGGTCGAGATCTCAATATGGACTTCATTTCAGTGATCCACGACTGTCGTCCCGAATACAAACAGATTGGTTCCTCATGAGCAAGTCAATTACGGCCTTACATAACGTTCTTTTGTTGTTGGATGGAATAAATAGTATAAGCCCGGAGCACTACAAGCTGCCTAAAATGGTCTGTATCTGACTTCCGGTTCTTTGGAGGGCAAATAATGCGAAACCAATTACCATATGATAAGGCTCGTGACAAAGACTTTCATGATAACTTTTTATTGTGTATATTAACCTTATCGCACTGCAAGTCTGTCATAGCACATCTTCGTTTCACCGCATAGGAACCTGGCGTTATCTCTTGAAGATGAATCACAGACAAGCAACCCATCATGTGAATGATGGTGTAATTACGGTGATCCTGAAGTTCAGAAAGACTAGTTAAATGGACATGTGAGGTCGTTCACGAATCATCTAGCACTGGCGGCCACATTCTTGTTTTTATGTATTTAACATAAAGGTAAATGCTATTTAATTTTATGTTTTACAAGCAGTATTATTCATTAGTATAATTATTTATAAAATAGATAATCCTTCCATTTGTAAGATAATTTACCATTATTAATTTACTCCTTACGATAAAATTCAACAACCCTAAGCATTGAAAATATGTCTAAAAAATTACTTCGAAAGAGGTTAGGAACGACTAAAAAAGTATTGCAGAACAATTTTTTTACCAGAAAAGTGTCACGAGTTACGCGCTTGCGTTACACGAATTTCGTAAAGCCGAGTGTCTAAGAAATTATCTGATTTTGTGACCACTCTGCTTTGTGCTCACGGGAGGCCCGTTGTCTTCGGAATAAACAACTCTGTTCGAACGCATTCCTCGGTATCCAGTCAAGGTTTCTGTTCACGAGCTTGTGTGGCGACGAACTGTGGCTCGCAACGGACGGGTGAATGAAACCGAAACCGCGGCCCTTGTGGCGCGGGGGGGGGGGGGGGGGGCGAGGGGGGAATCCGTACTCTCGGGACGCGGAGTGGGGGGAGAGGCTGAGCCCTGTCCGCCTGCCGACACTTGAAAGCGCTAGCGTATCTCGCAAGGACGTCTGGTTTCCTTCCTTTGAAACTTCTGGGCTCGTAAATGGCGCATTCGTTTGCATGCGTGAACGGCGGGAGGGATAGTGTGTAAGTTTGGAGTTCGGAGATTTGCATTACATCTAATTTTCTATTAATTGTTACTCATGTTTCTAGGTGGTTGACTCAGACTTGTTATTAATTTGCATTATTATAATTGTGAATACATTCCATTACATTTCTTGCAAAATTATATTGATAAAAGGGTGTTTTATTGTGAAAGGTTTATGCCTGAAATATGAAGCAACTCTGCCAGATATAAATTTATTCACTAGCGATGTCATATGTGGAGCAAAACAAGAAGATGCACTGCGTTGGCTCTGACATGAGAACTTAATATTTCTGTCACACGACTTGCTTGCAGAATATTAACACTTGAACAAGTCAAACTGCAACACCACATGAAATATTCTTCTCAGATTAAAATTTAAGATCACCAGATTTGTGGATTTGTAGTTTCAGCAGACGATAATTTATGTATTGCATGACGTGAGTGCTACAATTTCTGCAAAGCTGTATTTCGTAGTCAAATGCAAATTAGAAACCAGCCATCTGGCACGAATGGAATCAGGCAGATGTAAGCTTTCACAAGTTCTTGATGAACAGTACGAAAAGGAAACAGAATGACCATAAAATATACACGAAGGGTTAGGCTATAGATATACGTATGTCACTTTCAGTTCATTTTGAGAAATAAAATACATGTTTCAATAAGACGTCTCTTACAACAGAACAAAGAATAAATGGTTTCGTAGTATAACGACATTTACAACTCCTGCACACAATATCCACACAAAATGTAATAATCGAAGAGGCGAGAACATCATTAGGGTCATCTTAATTTCGACAAAAGTGGCAGACTATCCAGGACCGCACCCTTCATAAAGATTTATTTTTGGATTATTATTCTTGGACAGCATAAAATTCAATAATATGTTGACAATAGCTCTGATAGATCAAGTACATCAATGCTTGTGTTCGACAGAATTGACAGTATCAGCAGTATAGCACTGAAGAAGGCCACAACACGATGGCCGAAACGTCAGTTCGATCGACTGAGACGCGGCGCACCCCGGACTGCCAAATATCAAACGATTCCGGCCGCGAAGCCCACGATTCCAATGTCAATGCGAATTTCGAGAGCAAAACACTGATTCTACTTAAAGAGACATCTTACATCAGACGATATGCGTATTTTTTCTTAATTTTAATAAGTTTTTTCATAAGTCCTCCAAAACTAAATATAATACATCTAACCCCATTGTTCTGCTTTAAATTCTTAAAACTTCTACCTGTCGAGTGTTACATAGTCATAAAAACTTGTACTGAAGATAGTCGGTATTATGAACCTCATTACTAAAGCGAGAACGTAAGACGCGTCTGATTTCATGGGAAATTGGTCTTGGAAATAGAAGCTGAATTTGTGTTAAAGTAGTAAAAGAAATGCCTTACAACTAATACCCTGTGTATAACTCTTGAAAACAACTCCAAAACTATGACTTATTAAAGTGCCGGAAAGGCAGTGAATCGATGGTTGCAGCGCCCCCGAATGGGGCCAGTGGCCGGCAGACCCTCCCGTGTCTCGGCGCGGCGCCCGCAGCGGCGCGGGGCGGCGAGGCGCCTGCTCATGTGAACACTGCTGCCGCCGCGCGTTTCCACTGCGCCACGTCATTTCCGTTCCGGGCCGTCTCTTGCGGCAGGTGCTCGAAGCCTGAAACGGCGGGATTGCGGTACACGCGCGTCAGCGGCGAGGGAGCACTTGAGACGCCGGCCGAAGCGCTTTGCCTCAAGCTGCGGCGCTGGATGAGACACCTTGACTTGCGGGACGGGCGTTTAACACATGTTTGGATGTACGACTTCGCAGAGTGTCGGGGCCGTAAAAAAACATGCCCCACGCAAACGTTTTTCTCTTCTTGAATGGCTTTTAGTTATTCATTATTTAGTTTCTATTAAATTATACAAGTTATTATTAAACCTTCAAGTGATGAAAGACTGGTATTTGATGACTTTAAAGAACGCAAAGCTAGGTTAATATAAATCCCTGAACTTTCTTCACTCATATTGTC